GTTGGTGGAGATGTCTGGACTGTGGCGGCTGCCGGAGACGGTGGTTGTAGCCATAGGTGGGAGGGCGGGAGCCAGGGCCGTGCTCCTCCACCACAGTCTCCGCAACACTGTCCACGCCCTCTACCTGGCCCTCGACCACGCCCTCTACCTGGCCCTCGACCACCCCTCCCTCCACCTGGCCCTCGACCACGCCTCCCTCCACCTGGCCCTCCTACAAGTCCTTCCACAACACGCTTACACAAAGCTACTCACCCGCGAAGGTCAGTATATTGATGTGTGTTTGCAATATGTGTCATCTCAGCATTTCGTTCTCAGAGATGTATGTGCCTTCGTAGTAATGTCTGCTTTACCTTATTAGTTCCAAAACGCATTAAATTAATTTGTTTTAATATACTTATGGATCTTGGTCAACAAACTAAGGTTGTTAGGTTAATTTATCCTGTATATGTGTATGAGACTGTTCAGACCCATAAACCTGGAAACCCACTTTCATCGATCACTAGCCAGACACCCACGTCTACTTACCCACTGGCTGCGACTTAAGTCTTCCCTTCATACATACGTACCACGCACTTTCAGTCTTGTGTCCTAAGGAATTTGTCGACATATTGTGTCCCTCGCAATGCGTCGGGGGCCGCAGGCACCTGGTGTGAGAGCGTCTCTTGATGCTCACCAAGGATGTTCCCAAGGTTCACCAAGTGTTCACCAGCGTACTCATGGATGAGACCATTTGGAATGATAATGGGCAGAGTTTATCGGGATCAAGTTTATATTCCTGTTGATTCCAAGAAGGCCTATTCAGAAAGCTACTGGAAGCACGCACTAAAGAAGAACCGGTCCAAACCCAGAGGATCGCAAATCAAAAATGGAGCGCTATTTGTTCCCCTTTGATGTCCTATTTCCTAATAGGACACTAAGGAGCCCTAAGATAATTTATTCATCTATTTCATAATTTCCGTGTGAGAGCAGTAGCAATCCCGTTTACAATTCTTTTAAATATGTCGTGGCTCAGTCAATTAAAGCGCATCTGGGATCATTCTGGACGTAACTTCGAACCCTCATCACGGCCCTTGTGGATTTATTCATTTGATATATCACGCAATTATGATTTCTGTGTGTATTGAAATAAGGGCAAAGAGGTAGAATAGCTAATTGACGGAGCCCGAGTGCATGGGGGAATTGTGTAAAACCCCGGCTTGTGTCTTAGAGATACTGCGGGATCCGTGTGAGAGCAGTAGCAATCCCGGTTGCAATTCTTTTACCATGTCCTGGCTCAGTCGAATAAGGCGCGTCTGGGATCATCCTGGATGTTATTTGCAGCCAGTTTACAAACTGACTGCAAATTACACAAATGGTAGGTTTTCATCCCAATGTCTGGGTGAATTCTCCCCTGTTTATAATCTGTTATAATTCTCTATAATCAATAATTATCCCCTGTAATATATGTTTCTAAGTTTGATGGAACCACTCAATTCCCCCTTTCACTCTGGGGATGGTAAGGGCTATAGAATTTATTATGCATACCTAAAGAGTTACAAAAAATCTGAAACATTTTAAAACAAATGTTACTGTTGTTATATGTTTGAATGATACATGGCATACCAAATAATGAAACAAATAATTCCAACTGTTTTATGAGTGTTGCAGCCCTAATGTTACGTAATGCATGGCTTCTGGGAGCCTGGTAGTCAAACACATGAGAGTAAACATAAGCACATTCCCAGATTTATTTCGAGGTAAGGGGCCGACACAATCTAACACCACATTTGTAAAAGGCTCCTCTGGCACCACAATAGGTTGTAGGGCTGCCCGTAGAGCACTCTAGTTAGGTTTACCCACAGCTTGATATACCACACAATTGTGAAAATATCTGACAACTTTTTTTTTTAGTATGGGCCAGTAGAAAAATAAAAAAAATTATGATACATTTTGGAAATCCCTTGGTGACCTCCCATAAGGTCATCATAAGAAACGTGTAGATCCTGTTCACAATACTCATTAGGTACGATGAGTTGGGTCTCATAATCATCTGATAAGGGAGATCCTGGTGATCTCCATCGTCACATCAGACGTCGATCAGTGAAGTAGTAACCCGTACTCTCATCCAAGGTGTCAATAGTGTCAGCTGCTTCTGCATAACACTCAGCTAAACTGGCATCAGTACTCTGCAATTCACTCAAGGTCTGGGACTCAACAGCTGGAATGAGCGGACAAGGAACTGTTACCTGAGCCTCCTCTTCCAGATCATCCCCTTGGTCAGAATAAATGACCAAGATATGAATAAATAGTTAAGAATGTATTCTCAATGTCCACTTCCACCTCCCTAACTGAAGGGGTCCTGACCTTGGGAACATCCTCCTTGGTAGTCGCAGGAACTTCACCCTTCTTACCCATTAATAAGATCACAACACATGCAGGATAAGTGACACCATCATCCGCATCTGGTTGAGCCATTACACAATTAGGGTTAGTAAATATGATAGGACACTGTTTCTATAACTTGACAAGTGTCAAAATCATTGCCGACAATAATATCAATCCCAGGGATGGAGAACTGTTTACTTACTTGCACCAACCTGGTGTAAAAGTTGACTTCAGGTTAACTTGGATTAAAGGTGCTTGCTGGACAATTTCCCCAATGCCTTGCAATAATACCATCTCACCAGTGTCTTTTGTGCTGACATCAGCAAGAACACAGTGAGAAATTAGAGACTGGGAAGCACCAGTATCCCTCAATAACTGTATTGGCTTCCAGCTCCCACTGGTTATCTTGAGGTTATCTTGAGATGATTTTGGGGCGTCTCCGCGGCCCAGTCCTCGACCAGGCCTCTACCCCCAGGAAGCAGCCCGTGACAGCTGACTAACACCCAGGTACCTATTTTACTGCTAGGTAACAGGGGCATAGGGTGAAAGAAACTCTGCCCATTGTTTCTCGCCGGCGCCCAGGATCGAACCCGGGACCACAGGATCACAAGTCCAGTGTGCTGTCCGCTCGGCCGACCGGCTCCCACATACATTTACTGGTACATAGAAGTTTACCAGTAAACATGTACGACCTAAAGTCCGTTATCAACTTTAGAATGTCTGGAACACAATTAGAATTAGCTATTAGAAACTCCTTTTTCAAAATCAGACCGGTAGGTCTCAACTCAGGGTTATAAGTAAAACATGAGTTAACAACACGACTTCTTCTCTTGCAATGTGTGCAATATCTGCTAGAGGTCGAATTGTCGAATCAACTGCAGGTTTAGGAACTGCATTACTAGGGTGAGGCCTCCCCCTTCTGAGAGGACTCAGAATTTGGTTTGACAAGAGAAGAAATATGCGTGCAGCTGTTATAACTGGTTTGGTCTGGTGAACATGAGGTTTATGAGCATAATAATTATTCTTAGGGTTATAATTATTAGAATGTGCTTTGAAAGGCACTTTAGTAAGTAATTCATGTTCGTCTGCCTGCTTGGCTAGTTGATTAATATCGGTGGTCTGTTTATGTTCAGCCATAAATGTTGCTAATTTATCTGGTTGACAAGAACATATCTTCTGAGTCACTATGAGGTTTCTTAATGTCTCAAATTATGTAATTGAGAGTCAATTTAACCATTTATCAAAGTAATTAGCTTTACTTTAGCAAAATCAGAAATGGTTTGATCATGTGCCCTCTTCAACTGTTGGGATCGAATTTCGTAATTGAGAAGTAAACCCAACACATTTACACCTTTTGTTATGCTAGTATTAAATCCAAGTTTTCCAAATGAGATCTCATTTCATTATGACTTGGTCCGGCTTCTTTCTCCCCAGCCTGACCCATCATCAGGTGCGACACAATTAAATTGGCTGGGCCTTGACTATGGTCTGAATTAAAATCTTGGAAAAGAATGTATCACAGCGTATAACTATCATCTACATTATCCACAAACACTTATGTACACTGTATGTACAAATATATACAAGCTAATCAAAGAATAATAATCCAGTAGCAGTCACCAGGCCGTCAATATGTCTCAAACAGAACAATCATTTCTTCAGACTATTTCCAATATTCGTAAGTTCAGAGAGTTCACGTAACTCCCTCAGTGGCGTCCCTCAATGCTGTTTCAATACTCTTCACACACAATAGCATCAGGAGATATTATTAAACTAGAGCGGCGAAACATCACACTGTGTCACTGAGTGGAGTAATGGTTAAAATCGAATATGTCATCTACTGCTATCCTGGACTTTATTTCAGCATTGCTGGAAATAGTCAAGTATTGACTATGCTCCAATTTATTCATTCATTCATTGCCTCGTCCGGAAACTCTGATTGAAGGACAGACTGGGAGAACAAGGAACCGCATGGAGGTGAGGATACATGGATAGCTAAACTATTGGCGGTAGCGACAAGAAACTTCTTAAGACAACTTGTTTGGGAATCCACAAGGATAAGAGGAAACGATGAACCAGCGAGACTCGACATAGTCTTCACTCTGAACGACTCTGACATAAGGGATATCGGTTTCGAGGCCCCAGTAATAATGAGCGACCACAGTGTACTGACATTTGAGTCTCTTGTTGAAGAAGGGTTAAGGAACTCGAGGAGGGGAAATGAAAACAAAAGGCTGGCATTCTGAAAGGGAAACTGTGAGGATATAAGAAAATTCCTACCAGATATAACATGGGAAACAGAGCTCAGAGAAAAAACGACCCACGACATGATGGACTACATCACGTAGAAGTGTAAGGAGGCAGCAGACAAGTTTGTCTGCTGCCTTTAGAAACGGCCTTTAGAAACTTGTGTAAGGAATCTTTCAGAACATTATATACCACATATGGCAGACCAATCCTGAAGTATGCGGCTCCAGCATGGAGTCCATATGAAGTCAAGCATAAGACTAAACTGGAAAAGGTTCAAAGGTTTGCCACTTTGAAGCCGGTCGACCGAGCGGACAGCACGCTGGACTTGTGATCCTGTGGTCCTGGGTTCGATCCCAGGCGCTGGCGAGAAACAATGGGCAGTTTCTTTCACCCTATGCCCCTGTTACCTAGTAGTAAATAGGTACCTGGGTGTTAGTCAGCTGTCACGGGCTGCTTCCTGGGGGTGGAGGCCTGGTCGAGGACCGGGCCGCAGGACACTAAAAGCCCTGAAATCATCTCAAGATAACCTCAAGATTGCCACCAGACTAGTACCCGAGTTGAGAGTTATGAGCTACGAGGAGAGACTACGGGAATTAAACCTCACTTCGTTGGAAGACAGAAGAGTTAGGGGGGACTTGATCACCAC